CTGATACTGTGTTGTCTAGTATTGTAGGAGGTGGTAGTATGGGAGGGTTTCTCCTAAAGTCTACCACCATTTCTACTGTTTTGAGTGTGTTCAGTTCCAGATTGTTCTGGTCAATGAGGCTAGTTGTTCAACCTCCCGTTTGTATGCGGATTCATCGTTGTCTTGAATGAGACCAATCACTGTTGTATCATCTGCAAACTTCAGTAGTAAACTTTAACAGATGGATTGTTTGAGATGCAGTCATTGGTATATACAGAGAAGTGGAGAGAGCACACAGCACTGGGTTGGCTCCTGTGCTAATTGTACAGGTATCTGATGTGATTTTGCCTAGCTTCACCTGCTGCTTCCTGTCTGTTAGGAACCTTGTGATCCACTTACAAGTGTAGTCAAGTACCACTAGCTTATTTACTTTAGTTAGAAGAATGTCTGGTATGATGGTATTGAATGCTGAACTAAAGTCTACAAAGAGGACCTTTGCGTGGGTCTTTGGAGATCCAAGATGTTGTAGGATATAGTGCAAAACCATATTAACAGCATCATCTGTCAATCTATTTGCTCAGTATGCAAATTGCGGGGGGTCTAACAGTGGATCCGTGATGGTTATCAGGTGGGACATCACCAGCCTTTCAAAGGTTTTCATAACCTCAGAAGTTAGAGCAACTGGTCTGTAGTCATTCAGTTCCTTGATGAAGGGCTTCTTCGGCACTGGGATGATAGTGGAGCGTTTGAAGCAAGAAGGGACATGGCATATCTCTAGTAATTTATCTGCATATCAGACATAAATACTGCATATCAGACATAAATATGGACAAATAAATACGTATAAATACGGTCATAAATACACACAAATCAGACACTGCATATCGGACAAAATTCAATCAAGAGAGTTCAGAAATATTTTACGAGAAGAGTCCTTCATTCCTCTAACCGCAATAAAATACCTTATGCCACTAGACTCAAAATTTTGGGCTTAGACAACTTAGAATTACACCAACTTCAGTCTGACCTAGTAGTACATAAAATTATCTGCCACAATGTCCTTCCTGTCAATGACTACTTCAGCTTCAACCACAACAATACACAAGCAAATATTAGATACAAACTCAAGGTAAACCATTCCAAATTCGACTGCAGAAAATGTGACTTCAGTAACAGAGTAGTCAATGCCTGGAATGCACTACCTGACTTTGTAGTTTCTTCCCCAAACCCCCAAAACTTTAACCTTAAACTGTCTACTGTTGACCTCACTCCATTCCTAAGAGGTCTGTAAGGGGCGTGCATAAGTGCATGAGCGTGCCTACCATTCCTGTCCTAATATTCCTTTTTACTTACTCTTTTCATGTATTCAAATTATGTTTATACTTCTACCTGTTATCTTATATATGCTGACAAATAAACTTATGATATGATATTGAAGATTCAGGTGAAGATGGGGGCCAATTGGTCAACACAGACTTTTAAGCAAGAAGGTGTTACCTTGTCTGGGCCTGGTGCTTTTCCTGGCTTTTGTCTGTGAAATAGATCTTGCACTTCCTTTTCTGTGATCACCAGGGGTTGTGAACCCAATGGGATGGGGTCAGTTGTAGGAGGTTTGGCTGTTGTTGGTGTGTCTGAGATGGGGTCAGTTGCAGTTTTTGTTTATACATTAATTAAATATATTATAAATTAAATTGTAAGCAGAAATAAGTTAGCCGGGTGTCTGAGTAATGATGATTTAATAGCTGATCAGCTGCTGTAATGTTGTAAAATTGTAACGCTGTAATGATGATGCAATGGTAGCAATGAGTCAGCAAGGTTATTTGACTCTTTACCACTTTAAGAGACTGTATTATAAGAGAGACCTTGTTGAGGCGTCTCTCTCTCTCCGTGTGTGCTTCCATGCCTATAGTTGATGATTGACTGCCTGACTTTGCCTAGTACATGTATGTATATATTCCTTGTAGATAAACCACTATTGGAAAGTCAAATCCGTTTACTGTATTTTGCTTCTGGGTTGTCTCAAAATAGTTACACTGTGTGCACACTGACACAGGGCAACTGTTAGAAGCATATATTAGGGCTGGAAATATTTAATTTTGATAGGGAAATATTAGGAAAGATCATGTACATCTTTGCAATGAGACTCGGTTCTGGAGATCAGCCAATTGTGATCTCAAAATAGGAGTCAGAATGAAAGCAAGCAGGCTGCAGTTGAATTCAACCATATCAAATGGTTGCTTTTAGAACATGCTTGGGCCACAATCTCAGGAAAGGACTTGCTGTTTCGCATCCTGTCTAACAAATTAAAAAAATAATCATAAAATTCAGAAAGGGCTATAAAGTTGTCAATCAGTGGCTAGCACAGGGGTGGGTTCTAAATTTTTTTACTACCGGTTCTGTGGGCGTGGCTTATTTTATGGGTGTGGCTTGGAGGTCATGTGACTTGGAGGTCATGTGACTAGGTGGGCGTGGCTAGATGGTCAGTCATTTCTGGAAGGTCCTCGCACTTACAACCAGTCCTTGCACTTACGACCCAACTCATTTGTTTGCTTTTAACACTGATCAGCTGTAAGACGGCCCTTTGAAGCCCCGCGGCAAGAGTTTAAACAGTTTTTTTCCCTCTAGTCTAGTCCATCAGCTGGGACTCAGGAGGCAGCAATAGATTGGGGGTGGGACCAAATAAAAGGTAAGAATAACGTGGGGGTGGGAGGGCGGGGGGGAGAACCGGTTCGGTGACATCATATCATCACCACTACCGGCTTGGCCGAACCGGACCGAACCGGGAGGAACCCACCACTGGGTTAGCAGTATGTGAGAGACATACCTGCCACACCTTCTCCACTATGAAAAGATCATATTACATGTTTAAATGTTTTTAAACTTCCAAAAAAGCATAAATAATCTGATGTAAATTTCATGAAAACCTCTTCTACTTTTTTCATTCCTTTTTTGAATTATGATGAACTTCTTGCTTTTATCCATTCATAAGTATCCATTCAAGGAGGTGGTGGGTTTCAAAAAAATTTACTACTGGTACTGTGGGTGTGGCTTGGTGGGCGTGGCATGGCTTGGTGGGTGTGGTTTGGTTTGGTGGGCATGGCAGGGGAAGGATACTGTAAAATCTCCATTCCCTCCCCAATCCAAGGGAAGGTTACTGCAAAATTCCCATTTCTTCTCGATCATCTAGGACTCGAGAGGCAGAGAATAAATGGGGGCGGGGCCAGTCAGAATTTTTACTACCGGTTCTCCGAACTACTCAAAATTTCTGCTACTGGTTCTCCAGAACTGGTTAGAACCTGCTGAAACCCACCTCTGATTCAAGGTAATGTATTCTAGATTATCTGCACCTGTAGGGAATCATCATGTTCTCACCTGAATAGGAACACTGGGGTACTTTTAAACTTATTATGTTTTTGAAGCCCAGGTAGCAAACTTTCTACTATCACTTTAACATCATACAATAATATTTTTCCTAATTAAAATCTCACTGCATTGGTTCATGTTTGTCTTAGCTGCCATAAATTTGAAATAAATGAAGTATATCAGCAAAATGTGCTTGGCTACTCACCTTCTTATGTCTTGAGGTCATTTTATAACTGTCTTGATTTTTGCAGTCCTGATCTGGTGAATCACTCATTGGGCCAGTCCCAGTTTAAGAAAAACTCTCAATTTGCAAAAATGGAAATGATAACTAAAAAGTTTTGAAGTACTTGTTAAAAACCAAAAAGGTTTTATGGTCTAAACACTAAATCCTCACTTCTTATGAAAATTGTCTGAAGAGAGCCATCCCATCTTTTACAAGGTAGCCCAGCAGTTGTCTCTCTCTGAATGGTTTGGTGATGGCAGCAGAGATGCAAGTTTTTTTTTCTACAGTATTTTCATCCTATGGAAATTTCCAATCTATGGAAATACCTTCCTCCAAAGTTACAATCTGCCTCCTCCTCCTCCTTAATCATCAGGAAGCAAGTGACAACCATCCTCTTTTGTTAAGTCGTTTGAAGAATAGTGTGAATGAACTGTGCCCTCTTTTTTTCCTGAGTGTTAAGTTATATTTGAAAAGTTTAGGTGTCCAAGTGGCTCTATAATCTATGCTGGTGTAGAAAGTTAGCACCTACCCTTCTCCTAGAAAAATGAAATATTCTAGGAAATATTTAAAAGGCAGAATATTATATTTCCCTGGATGAGAAATGGAGAAACATGGTTTTTAAGACAGGAAGCAGACTTACTCTTAATAGCCCCCACCCTCCTCAATAACCCACAGCAGATGTCAGCACTTAAGAGATAAAGGGCTAGGTCTATTCATAAGCAAATACCCTCACCCAAGATCCAACAAAGAGAGGATTAGCCCTCAGCCATAATATGAATTGCCCAAAGCCCCTTCATTACATCACCCAGCACAGTTTGACCAAGCTTGACTCAGAAAACCCACAAGGTTAGCTATGACCCCTACAGCAGCCAATAGCTTGCCACATGAACAGGAAGCTAAAATTCAAAGCCCAAGAGAGGATATAAATCCATCTCTCTCTCTCTCTCTCTCTCTCTCTCTCTCTCTCTCTCTCTCTCTCTCTCTCTCTCTCTCTCTCTCTAGATTTGAAGTTTAAGATTTAGGGTGATTACATAATAATAATATTAAATGTTAGAATAAGATGTTAGATTGAATGATAAAAATTGGGTTTAGATTTGTTCTTTTTTTCTTTTTTCTTTTTCCTTTAAGATGTTAACTGATGAAATTTGAAATTTAGACTTATTTTATACCGGATCAAACCCTTGCTCTAAAAAGATACTGTTTTATGTTTTATGTTTAAAAATAAATTTCAAAAATTTCAAAAAAAAACACCTTCTCATCTCTTCTCTCTGCTTTCCTTAAGAATGGCTGCTAGTTACATTTCTGTTCTCCCCAATATCTTTTTTTCCTAAATAAATTCTGACTATGGAATTAATAAAGTACCCATGCCCATGATATACAACTCTGCAGATGTTCAATATTTTGAATGCACATAATAAAGCTGATTCAGAACTACCTTCAGATAGCTAGCTATGAAGTTTTGACAGTACAGTGACTGCAACCACCAATCACTCTGAATGTAAGCCTGACAATTAATAACCAGAATTTTGGTCCCTAACTATTCTAGAACTGCCAGAATGATTAATGCTGCATTCATCATAAAGAAAGCCATTGGAGACTGCAAGTGTATATGAATGTCAATTAGAAAAAGACAGCAGTTATTCATTTAATATACCTGCAGCTTTTCAATCTTCCTTCACCCCATAGCTGCCCCACCAAGAAGGTTTAAACATATTGGCTGTACCACTTAAAATGATTTCCAGAGGTTTTATCAAACAAACAGTTCCTCTGAAAATTTATTACACAGAGAACACAGACACCTGCCTAAGAGCAAAAAGATTATTGCTATTATAAGCAATACTGAGCAAGATAGATTTATTCATTTATTTTTATTTTTGTATAAATAAATTTTTAAATGACTATAAATATAATATAAATATAAAAATTATAAATAGACTAATAAGGACATTCCCAAGATTCCATTCTAAATCATTGCAAGGTATCGAGAATGTGATGTGGAATTCTTCTAAAATAAATCCTAAGTAGGGAGATCTGAGAGTTCTAATTCAGACTTGTATTTCATGTTCATATTGCTTTTATCTTTATTCTAGTTCAGAAATTCAGCCCTACTCATTTCTTTTCAGAAGACAGAAAACAAAAAAATAACTTGCTCTTCTAAATCTTTCTTTCAACAATGTGACAAAAGGTATAATTTTTTTTCTACCTCAGATCTCTCTCAATGAACATCAAACCATGTTCATTTAGAATTAATGTACAATCAAGAATTCTGATAGAACAAAATGCAAAATTGAAAAAAATATTAATAAATGAAGTAGCCCATGCAATAAAATCAATGAGGATCAAAAACTCAGCTGAGTAACGTTATCTTTACTAGAGTTCTCAAGAAAATTGGGCAACCTTTATATTTTGGTGAATAGCATATTTTTATTACTATGATTTTGAGTTCCATTCATCAATGTCATTCTTCTACTTAAGGACTCTTCACATGAGAATGAATCAGACTCCGATGATTGAAGCAGCCCAGAAGAGCACAGTTTCTAATAAAATTGCACTAGGGACGGTATCAAATCTTTATTTTATCAAAGACCCCTATACTTGATTTAGAGAACGAGATTATAGTATCAATCAGCCTGTAGGAAGTTAGCACCCACCCCTTTCCTGGAAGAGTGAAATATTTTAGGAAATAGGAAAAAGGCAGAAATATGAGAAGCATATTTTACAGACAAAGCAGCTCCCACCTTCCTGCCCCCCACCCTTTGTCAATGGGCCATTAAGGCCTGGGCCAGTCTACTCTACATAACAAAGATCTACCTCCTTCAGGCAGAGCCATAGTAGGAATTGTCAAAGATATTGTGCCCTCTACACAATAGCAGCAGAAACTCACCACATGTGACCTGGGAAGCGCATGTAACCATCAGCCAGCAAGGCCCCCACCCCCTGGGAGTCTGACAACCAATCAGGATACTCTTTCGGGGCCCCAAGAAATGCAGAGCCAGAGAGAGCATAAAAACCCGAGGATTTACTGTATCTGCCCCTTTTCTGTTCAGGAACTCAAGCCATGTGATCCTGTCCACCATTAAACCATCTTTCCAAGCAGTCTCCATGTTTCCAGTGTCTGTTTTCCCCACTTGGAGCAGAACCCAGAAGGATGTTTCTTCCAACAAGCCCTAGAAAGCCCTGGTAAAGAATGCTCCTTCAGAGAGAAAGAAAAAGGCTTAAACAAATCTACTCAGCAAAATATGTACAGGTGAACTGAATCCTCTGAAGGGATATTAAGGTAGAACTTTAAAAAGTTTTCCACTGATATTGTTGTGCTAACATGGCATTTTAGTTCTCCATTTTAATTCATTCATTCATTCATTCATTCGTTCATTCATTTATTCATTCATTCACTCATTCATTCATTCATTCACATATACATATACATACACACACATATACAATCTTATTATTCTGTATTCTGAAAACACAAAAAGAGATTATGGGTGCCCTGAAGACAAGCATATAAACAATAACAACAACAATAAACCATCATACAGGGTTTCAGTTCCACCTGCCTCAAAGCCTTGGAATATGCTGTTCGGACATTTTCTAAACTTGACAATCAAATTTAGCTGGTTAAATTTTTATGAGCCCATTTCCAACATCCTGTGAACATTTTAGAGTTGATTAATTTTATGGGTAAGAAAGCAGACAAAAGCAGATCAAGAGGAGGAGGGCAGATTAGCTAAAAACTTTTTGAGGGAGAAGCATGCCATTAGTAAGTTGACTTGACTGGTGAAGCAGTTTACCTGAAATGTCGGTATTACTCCTTGGGCACCAACTGCAAAATGTTTTTTTTCTTCAGTATCCTTTTGATACCTCTTATAAAATTCTATTTACCATGAAATGACTGTGGTTAATCAGCCACGATTGCATATATTGTCCCTTAGCTATAATATTTCATTCCAAAACAAATGAAATACTTTGTTAAAAGACACACTTCTCTACTTTGTCTTCTTTCTGCTCTAATGTCCAATCTGGCAACTGACTCGTAAGGGAACAAGACTTTCATTTAGACTGGCATAGTTCTTTAATGGAAATAGGCTCTGTGTCTGCCTGCACTGCACACAATTCCCCTACAAACAGATGTTGATTTCAAGTATGGTATGCCTAATATCCCAATCCTTGTAGCTGTGCAGAAATAGTTCTTTCTATGTCTCTTGACTGCCATCATCTGGTCATTTGTTTTAAACTAAGTTTAGAAAAGTTTATCGGCTTGGTCATTCTAATATGAAATTACTGTAAAATGGTACAGCAGGGTGGAAAGCTAAATTTCAACTAAGTGCAAAAGCATGAAAGAGAAAACACATAGAAGTTTATTGATTTATTTTTAAATGGTCTGAATAAAATTGCTAGTATTTCAGTTTTTTAAAAAATGAAGTAGGTGTTATAAACAAACATAAGGAAAGGAGTTCCTTGTGTGAGTCGAGTAAATAGAAAGGACTTAAGTATCATGAATGGCTTGTTGTTTTTCAACACTGCAATCTTTTAATAATTCTGGTCTCTATTTCCTGACTAGTAGGAAGCCTGTGATACTGAGTGCATTTATTTGGCAACAAGCAATACTTGATGAAAAAAGTATGGTACATTTTTAATAATAATAATAATAATAACATTGACACACATAGTATGTAAACAGTGAGATGAACATCTCAATTTTAGCAAAACACCATAACAAGTAAGCTGTGTATCACTGACTTGACTGACTTAACTGTTCAGTATGCCAGCAGTTACAAGATAACTGGGCTATAAATCCTAGTTCATTGGGCCATTTATTATTATTATTATTTTAGTTTTCTTAGCAGTCACAAAGAAAGCTGGAAGGCTCCTTTTCACTTCAGAGCTTTTTTTATTGCTTTGCAAACAAAAAAATAATGGTGGGAATGTGTCAGCCTTTCCAGACCAGACAGGAAGCCATGTTAACAGAATCTTGCAAGTCTAAAAGTAAAATTATCCCACTGTCTCCTATTTTACAGCCTGAGAACTTGGGAATTATGCCCTCTCTTATTTGATTGTTCTCTAGGCCAGGGGTCTCCAACAGCTGGCTGAGGAACTCTGGGAGTTGAAGTCCACAAGTCTTAAAGTTGCCAAGGTTGGAGACCCCTGCTCTAGGCAATGTCTTTCCCCACTATCTTCCAAGACATTGCCACACACCATTATAAGTCAATAATACTAAAAACAGAATTAGGGGATTCTTCTTACGCCTTTCTATCCCCTTTCCCTCTACCTCTTGAGATCATAGCAAAATAAATAAATAAGTAGATATGCCGAGAATGGCCCCTTTTTTGCAAGACCTTTGAGAATTTCATTTCTTTCTGAGCCCAGGAAAACTGATGGCTCGTTTCTTTGGGCCAAGGTATTCTCATGATACACAATTCTCCCTAGATGACTTAGAAAAGCAAGTTGTGTAAATGGGACACAATCCCCGACCCAGTGGATCTGATATGCTAGTACCAAGGCAGCTGCTGATATTGGATATTGGATATCCAATGGCTTCTCTTTTTGCTGTTCTCTAGAGCGGTAGTCATCAATATCCAATTCCAGCTGTCCTGCTGAGAGATATTTGTATCTGAGCAAGCTCTGCAAGCTAATGAGAATACAATTCTCACATTCCATCTATGCATGGAGTTTAATCAGTAAATCACTGAACAGAGCAGCAGTTGAGAAATAATCAGGAACAGCTTCAAGGGCCTTGGAAGCCTGGACATTTCTGTCCTCAACATAAAGACACATCTTTTCCTCAGTTTGTATGGCTGCCATAGGATCCTGAAAAAGCAACCATAGGTAGGTGCTATGTCTGCACCACAGGCATTGAAGCACTTTTTTGAAATCAAATCTGAAGCATGTACAGTCCTAATCAATATTAGTAATGATAACTTTATGTGGCATATGAATAATAATAAAGCTTATCTCTTATTTAACGAAATCTACGAAGATAATATCTTATTATATACAAAACTAATTATCCATTAATCAGTCAATCATAAGTGTTGATAATCACAGAAACTCCATCTAGGTAAGCAAAAAATAAAGTTCATTTAATAAACTATCCTGCCCAAACCACAGCAGCTCCCACAACAACAAAAACATAAGCAAAACTCTCTTCTCTACACGAACAGGAGGTGATTATAAACTGCTTGGAAACTCCCACCCTCACCTGACTAAACATGCATATCCTTATTATAGCTGTTTTTATCTAATTATTTGCACACACACACACAAAACCGAACTAGGATCAATAACAGATAAAAGAGCCTGGAACCATCATTTCTCCTGTATTTGAAGAACTATTAAATATCTAGGATTACTGAACTGGTTTGCAAATAATCCAAACGATCACAAAATGGCAGTAAATAGGTAGAAATTTCTGTGAGTCGCAATTAGGTAGAGTATGAGTAAAATTTCTGAGGCTAGGATTAATTTAAGATTAGGGGAGTGGCCTGAGGTTTAAAAAATGGGTGGACCTGTATGATATATATAGGTAGAGCTGGAATTGAGAGATGTTTCTTCTTCTTTTTATGT